CAGTTTCCTTACATGTTTGATTGGTGAGCTCATGGTCCAATGGGCTTTTAGAGGTCACTTTAAATTTGTATCAACATCAAAAATGATTGACAGAAAACCTGACGAGTAATAAAACAATATATATATATATATATATATTTTACCTGAAATGATAGGACCCTGTACACCATAGGCCCCTGGCCACGGCCCCAGTTGGCCCGTGCATTAAGGCGGCCTTGGGCCACCATGTATAAGATATTCGGAGTTGTCTGATCAGGATCTTTCAGGATATTTAGTGTAAAATTGCATGTTGGTAACATGTTGAGGATGTTTTTTCACATGTACTTGCTTATGTTTTGAGTGTCATCTTATCTCAAAAGACACGTATTTCTCTTTCACTCAGTTGTACAATTGTTTTTATCTCATGCCCTCCTTTTTATGACCAGTTTCTTGATGTGTCCCATCAGTCTGCTCATCTCATCTCCTCCTTCTATTTTTAATTTTGCTCATAAGAAGAGTGCAATAAGAAACTAATCAAAATCTAATTGGGTCTTTGACTCACGATTGGCGAGATCCTGCAAACACATTAATTATTTATCATCTGTATTAATGATAAAACTTCAACAAATTTTTAAAGACATGTTTCTACTCTGATTACACAACTTTGTTCAGATGTAATCCAAGCTTTACTATCTGTGGATTTCTTATTGTTAGAATAGATTTTATTTGCTTGTTATTCTTCTAATCTTCAATTTTTTCAAGAAGATGCTGTTTGCTGCCTCTTAAATTGATTTTATAGATTATTTTATGCATAATTAAAATCATTAACACATCTTAGCAGAACTAAATATCCCTATTTTTTATTTTCTCTGATGAAGACACATAAGCTGTCGAAACGTTGCACCTATTTAAATATTTATACTCATTTGAGTGCCCCAGCTCTCCTGCTTTTCACTCTTTACTTTCTTTATTTTAGTTTAGCAACATCACTTTGCTGCTGTGTCAGCAGAAACGTTCTCTCATCTATTTTCAACTAAAAAAACATTTATTTATGTTCACAACAAAAGGAATAACAATCTGTATGGGATTAGATTTGTGCCAATAGGATCAAGAAAACACTTTGACGATCAAACAAAAACTAAGAAATTGACAGAACAGAAATATTAACTAAAGGAAAAAAATGTTTCAAAAGTAAAACTTACTATCTGAATCAGCTTCTTGAAATGAGTAATAAAGTATGTTTCCCTTTTGTTTGCCTCTATGTATTTTTGTTATCAATTTCTTTTGTTTCATTCTTGCTGCTCAGAGCTTCGCTCTCACCACCAGATCTGTACTTACACTTCCTGGCTTTCTCCTTTCAAATCCCTGAGTTTTTGTTGCAGTTCTGACACAACCCTTGCGGGTGCTTGGTACTTCTCAGAAGTCCTCTCACATAGGACAGTGCTTTCTCTTGAGTGACAGTTCAGTGTCTAAAAGTGAGTTATTGGTAATGTATTTTATCTTTTCTTACATACAATAAAATGTACTCTAAGTAAAAGCTGCTTAGTTACTTTTTTATCAGCATAAGAATGGCTACACCTAAGTAGTGCAAAATCGCAATGCTACCTCACAACACGCTCACGTGCATGAGCGCATGCATGCACACACACACACACACACACACACACATGCATGTACACACACACACACAGAGACACACAGACTTGGAATCAGTTGGTAAGGAGCGCTAAACATTCTTTTGCCACTGCCATGCGGAGCAGTTGGGAAAACACATTTCAAAGACAGAACCAAGTCCGGCTATCAAACCGAGCAAATACTCATGACTTGTCACCAGTCCGTGAAGGTGGCGATTTCAACAGGGGCGGCGTTGGGCCCGGCTACTTGGGCTCAAGCCCCGAATGTTTTATGGAAAGACTAGTGCGTGTTACGTGTGTGTGCGCGCGCGCATGTGTTAAGCCCCGGATCTTCTTCAGTCCTAAATCAGCCCCTGGGTTTCAACCAACAGGAGAGGGAGGGAGAGAAGGGGTTTAAAGCGAGTGCATCAGAGGGACCGGACTGTTTTTTGAGCAAAACTGCGGGAAAACTGGCTGTTAAACGTCCTCATTATAAAAAGTGTTCATTACTTTCCACCTCTGTCCAACACACTGTACATTACTGATCACTAATTTTCTCTAGCATCATTTGTGATCCCACCCACTGTGGAACAGGCTAAGGGCAAAGTGCATTGTGGGTCGCTGGTTTTCAGTTGTTTTGCCTATTTTGGTGTGTTTTGTTGGTTTTTTTTTGCTAGGTTTGTGTTGGCTGTTGTTTAGCTCTCGTTCTGATGGTGCTATTTTTGATTGGTGTTAATTTAGCACCGTGAGTAGCGTTTCCATTCTGAGGAGTAATTTGGCTCACAGTTTGTTTGTTCATGCTAGGTGCTAGCTTGTAGCATTGTAACCCAACACATTGCATTGGCCTAGCAAAACTGATTGCTGTTGAAAATCAGTTTTTCCTTAACCTAGTTACTTTTAACATAATCAGCAACGTCACTCAACAACTTTTGGAAAAAGTAATCAAATTACTATTTCAACTGTTACATTAGCAGGTACTAATACTCCATCTGGATGTTGTAGGAGGTTTGATTATGATTTACTAAAACAACTTTAAAGGGATTAAAACTCATAATAGGTGGTGTGATTTCTTTGGGAAAGCATTAATTAAATGTGATGTTTATAAAAACATAAAAAAGCTCAACTTTACTGTCATAAAAGAAAAACAAAGAAATTTAACCAAATATTTTCTTTAGATGGATGAAGGTCAAACTGGCAATAAATGATATGGATTTAGCTTCTAAAACATAAAATAATATAGGATATGCTTTCCTCTGTGCTTAAAAGAGTTTCTATGAAGCTCCGACTTGTTTCTCCTTACATGCTGTGTTCAATAACGATCAAGCCTAATGGAGGAATAGCTCTTGATTTATCACCAGAAAGGCCAGCAGGACGAGCCCGGTCTTATTGCTAAGAATAAGATGTCACGCTCAGCTCAGTTTGGGGCAGCCAGCCTGGCTCTTCCTAACTAATTTAGACTGTTTTGTGTGTGCCAGGTAGCAGATAAAGTTCCTGATGGGATGGAGGAGATCCGGGAGAGGCAGAGAAGAGGGAGCGAGACCAGCAGAGATGGACTAACAAAAGATTGGACTGTCCGTGTGTCACTTTCTCTGACAGTTATTTGTAGAAATTGTTCATAAGATGGAAAATGTGTTGTGTGTTGATGGCCAGAGGTGTTTTGCGACAGGTGCTTTGCTCGGTGACTGAAACAGAAGCTAGGTGTGTGCCACTTGCAGTTGAGCCATCTTTCACCTTGTCCCCTTCTGATGCATCATCAGCCTTAATTGCCAGCATCATTATCCTACTTTTCTGTCCCTGTGGTGATCATTTAAATAAATCACTGCAGCTGAAGTAGTGAGGAAGACTGTAAGAGCAAAGGATGAGAGGAAGAAGCTGAGCAATAAATAAACTTGAGATTAAAATAAAAAGAAAGAAAGGCTGCACGATGGCACGTTTGGTAGCTTTGTCGCCGGTTCAAGTCCTGGCTGCAGCCTTTCTGCACATATAGTTTGGATTTTCTCTTCAAGCAAACGTGGGTTTTCACCGTGTAATCCGTCGTCCTTTTCTGCGTGGTCAAAGTAGATGCATGAAACCTATTTCAGATCAAAAGCCTTGACTGTCCCACTCCAAATCATTTCCTCACTACATTTCTGTAGTTTGACTCTGCAACAAAAGTCACTACTGCCACAAACGCAATTGTAAAGTAGCACACAGCTTGGTGAGCACACTGTGTGCAGGTGTGCTAACATAAAACTCAAAAAGCCAACTAACACAAGTCACACTGCTTTATACTGAGCTGAAAGTAAACCTAAATCTGGTCATTGCAAAAATAGAGCTGGTTCATGAGCGCCGTGCACTAAGGGTCTCATGGACCTTCTGCTAATCTTCTTTCTCATCTTAAAGATGCATCTGTACAGCTGACAACTCTGCAAGAAGAAAAACATAGCCAGCATATCGTCAGTGAGCACAGTGCATTGGGTCTGAAACACCAGGAGTGTTTCTCAATGTCAAAGTGCCTGGCCTTGCGATGTCTTGCGAGGCCAGGCGCCTTGCTTACGAGGACACTGTCCTTCCTCGGTCAAAGAAAACGGTTAAATGGAACAGACTTGCATCACGTGACCGCGGCTTCAACGTGGCGTGACACGAGAGATAACGTTGTATTTTATAAGTATTAGTTTCAATATTAATAATACCAATTCTTGTCATGTGCCTTGCCCATGTATGTCTGATCTCTGTCTTGGCGGCTCCCGATGACTTATCTCCTAGGCAACCGGGGCGGGGCCAAGACATCAAGGCAAGGTTCCTTGGCATTGAGAAACACCCCATGAAAGATGGTGGGTGCATGGTTAAAAGAACACACCCCCTTCAGGGCGGGCATGATGACATTTGGACTGTGGTTACACCTGGCTGAAATGGACCTCTTACACTGAGTGATCAGACTTCAGCTCTGAGGAAAATCATCCATTTTTCTGGAGGTTTTTCAGTAATTTCGCACTGGGAGGTGATCCAGAACTGTCTGGAAGCTCTGTACTTTCTCTCTGGCTTAGGTAGCATGAGGGTAGAAGGATGTATGGGTTTCCCTTTTAGGTCTCTGATCTCCATGACCTCACTTGGAGAATGAGAAACAAATGAATGGATAGTTTTATTTAATTATAATTAATGAAATATTCAAAATATTTTAGACATGAAGTAACAAAGCTTTTTATAGGGCCACTTTTAAACACACCAGATAAAAAACAACACACACTTGGGTTCCTTCCAAACCATGAGTCACCCAGTAGCAGCTGTGATCCAAACCCAACCCTTTCCTTTCCACCCCCAACTTCTTCCATCACTGACCCTGAAAAAGACGAAGAAGAATGTAAATAAAACATCAGAACAAAGATTTTGATGATAATCTTGGTTTTATTTGTCTTTTCTCTCATACAGATCCAGGCCCATCCTGTAAATGAACCTGAGAAGACTCGAGGAACGTCCAAGACAAACACAACGGTAGGAAGATCTCCTCTAGGAAAATTCCTATAAAGGATACGCATCATCAGCTGTGGAGTCACAGAACACAATAAAACAAACAGGTAAGCTGCTTTGCTTCTGCTGAAAAATGAATTTTCATGGATGTTTTGTTTTCATGATTGCTGACACATTTGTTTTAATTTAAGTTTGAAGTCATTCAAGAGGAATTCTTCAATAATCCAGCTGATTAATCACTCTGAAGCCTTTAGTCTGCAATTTACTTGCTCATCTCTGCGTTAGGTAATTAGTACCTTAAATCCACGTTCTGTATTTGCAAGTGTGTGTATGTGTGTGTGTGTGTGTGTGTGTGTGTGTGTGTGTGTGTGTGTGTGTGTGTGTGTGTGTGTGTGTGTTTAAGGCTATTTTTCGCACATGGATTCAAACATTTGTTAGTGTCTTCCTAAGCACATATTATTCCATGGTTCCTACTCATATGGTGCCTTTTTTACTGGCAACACTGTCATTACTTCTGACACTACTTCATTTGCCATAGCTATTATATTCCTTGTGCACATATGTGACTGTGCAACACGTGCCAGGCAGAGATAAAGTAAAATTGTAGTAAAATTGAAGTAATTGTTGTAATTAGTTCTTCTCCAGACTCTCCTCCTACAGCTGTTGTTGAGATTCTCGAGTCCGAGAGGAATGTAATACTGAAGAACCCAATCTAATTTATTCACCTTTGGATGCATGACAGGAAGTTTTAGCTCTATTCGATAGCGCTCACGTGTCATTATTTTAATTGCTAGTGTCATGAAGGGCCTCAATGTTTGTGACATACGGGAAGAAAGATCTTCTATATTAAAACAACGTTAAATTGATTTAGCCAAATGAACCGTCACCTTATCGCGGTGGAGGAGTTTGAGTGCCCTAATGATCCTAGGAGCTATGTTGTCTGGGGCACTTTGTGCCCCTAGTAGAGTCTCCCATGACAAATGGGTCTAAGGTGAAGGGCGAGACAAAGAACGGTTCAGAAGGTCTTTCATGGATGTAAAAACAGAGTCGGAGTACCTGGTCCGGAGGGTTACCGGGGTCCCACCCTGGAGCCAGGCCTGGGCTCATCCAACTGCAGACCCACCACCCGCAGGAGGAACATGAAGGGTCCAGTGCAGTGTGGATCAGATGGCAGACCGAGGTGGGAGCCTTGGCGGTCCAATCCCCTGACAAGGAAACTGGTTATTGGGACATGGCACATCACCTCACTGGCGGGGAAGGAGCAGGAGCTTGTGGCAGAGGTTGAGCGGTACCGGCTAGTTATAGTTGGACTCACCTCGACACATAGCATTGGCTCTGGAAACCAAGTCCTCAATCCCACCTACGCGCATTCCGAGGAGGACACTCTCCTTTGCTGGAGTTGTTCCGGGTGAGAGGCAGAGGGCTGGGGTTGGCTTTTTGTTAGCTCCAAGACTCTCTGCCAGTGTGTTGGGGTTTACCCCGGGGGACGAGAGGGTAGCTTTCTTGCGCCTTCGCATCGTGGAAGGGGTCCTGACTGTTGTTTGTGCTTATGCGCCAAATATCAGTTTAGATTGCCCACCCTTTTTGGAGTCCCTGGGACAAGTGCTAGATAGTGCTCCATCAGGGGACTCCATTGTCCTGCTAGGGGACTTCAATGCTTACGTGGTCAATGACAGCATGGCCTGGAGGGGTGTGATTGGGAGGAGCGGCCCGCCTGATCTGAACTCGAGTGGTGTTTCATTATTGGACTTCTGTGCAAGCCGCAGTTTGGCCATAACGAACACCATGTTCGAACATAAGGATGCCCACCGGTACACTTGGTACCAGGGCAGCCTAGGTCGCAGGTCGATGATGGACTTTGTAGTCGTATCATCTGACCTGCAGCTGTATGTTTTGGACACCCGAGTGAAGAGAGGAGCGGAGCTGTCAACTGATCACCACCTGGTGGTGAGTTGGATCAGATGGTAGGGGAAGATGCTGCGTAGACCTGGCAGACCCAAACGCATAGTGAGGGTCTGCTGGGAATGCTTGGCAGAAGAACCTGTCAAGAAGATCTTCAACTCCCACCTCCGCCAGAGCTTTGACCGTGTCCCGAGAGCAGTGGGGGACATCTACGCCGAGTGGGCCTTGTTCCACTCTGCGATTGTTCAGGTGGCTGTTGGTAGCTGTGGTAGCAAGGTGGCCGGTGCCAGTCGTGGTGGCAACCCCCGTACCCGCTGGTGGACACCAGAGGTTCGGGGAGCCATCAGGCTGAAGAAGGAGGCCTATAGGGCGTGGCTGGTCTGTGGGTCTCCGGAGGTAGCAGACAGGTACCGGATAGCAAAGCGGGGTGCAGCAGCGGCAGTTGCCGAGGCAAAATCTCGGGCGTGGGAGGAGCTTGGTGAGGCCATGGAGAAAGACTATCAATTGGCGCCAAAGAGGTTCTGGCAAACTGTCCGGCACCTCAGGAGAGGGAGGCAGCAACTCGCTCACATTGTTTACAGTGGGGATGGGGAGCTGCTGACGTCAACTGGGGCTATAGTCGGGTGGTGGAAGGATTATTTTGAGAAGATCTTCAATCCCACCTACGCACATTCGGAGGAGGAGCTAGAGCCGGGAGCCCTGGGGATGGACTGTCCAATCTCTGGGACAGAAGTTGCTGAGGTAGTCAAACAACTACACAGCGGCGGAGCCCCAGGAGTGGATGAGATTCGTCCTGGGTATCTCAAGTCTTTGGATGTGGTAGGGCTGTTGTGGTTGACACATCTCTGCAAAATTGCGTGGTCATCGGGGGCAGTTCCTGTGTGTGGCAGTTCCTGTTGTCCCCGTCTTTAAGAAGGGTGACCGGAGGGTGCGTTCCAACCATAGGGGGATCACACTCTTCAGCCTCCCTGGAAAGGTCTACTCCAAGGTACTGGAGTGGAGGGTCTGATCGATTGTAGAATCTCAGATTGAGGAGAAGCAATGTGGTTTTCATCCTGGCCGTGGAACTGTGGACCAGCTCTATACCCTTCCAAGGGTGATGAAGGGGGCATGGGAGTTTGCCCAACCAATCCACATGTGTTTTGTGAATTTGTAGAAGGCTTATGACCGTGTCCCCAGGGGCACCCTGTGGGGGACACTCCAGGAGTATGGGGTGGGTGGCCTTTTCTTAAGGGCCATTCAGTCCCTTTACCAGAGGAGTGTGAGTTTGGTCCTCAAAGCCGGTAGTAAGTCGGACCTGTTCCCGGTGAGGGTTGGACTCCACCAGGGCTGCCGTTTGTCACCGGTTCTGTTCATAACCTTTATGAACAGAACTTCTAGGCGCAGCCGTGGTGTGGAGTGTGTCGAGTTTGGTGGCAGGAGAATCTCGTCTCTGCTTTTTGCGGATGATGTGGTCCTCCTAGCTTCATCCAGCTCTGACCTTCAGTTCTTGCTGAGTAGGTTCGTGGCCGAGTGTGAAGCGGCTGGGATGAGGATCAGCACCTCCAAATCTGAGACCATGGTTCTCGACCGGGAAAGGGTGGCTTGCCAACTGCGGGTCAGGAGAGAGGTCTTACCTCAAGTGGAGGAGTTTAAGTATCTCGGGGTCTTGTTCACGAGTGAGGGTAGGAGGGATTGGTAGATCGACAGGCGGATTTGTTCGGCATCTGCAGTGATGCGGATGCTGAGCCGATCTGTCGTGGTGAAGTGGGAGCTGAGCAAGAAAGCCAGGCTCTCGATTTACCGGTCGATCTACGTCCCAATCCTCACCTATGGTCATGAACTTTGGGTAATGACCGAAAGAATGAGATCGCGAATACAAGCGGCCGAAATGAGTTTCCTCCATAGGGTGGCCGGGCTCAGCCTTAGAGATAGGGTGAGGAGCTCGGACATTCGGGAGGGACTCAGAGTAGAACCACTGCTTCTCTGGATTGAAAGGAGTCAGTTGAGGTGGTTTGGTTATCTGGTCAGGATGCCTCCTGGACGCCTCCCTGGGGAGGTGTTTCGGGCATGTCCTGCCGGCAGGAGGCCCCGGGTCGACCCAGGACATGTTGGAGAGGTTACATCTCCAGTCTGGTCCGGGAACGCCTTGGGGTCCTGCCGGAGGAACTGGTGGAGGTGGCTGGGGAGAGGACGGTCTGGAGCTCCCTAGTTTGGATGCTGCCTCCACGACCCGGACCCGGAACTGAATGCTGCAATCATTTACAGGTGGTGCAAAGGTCCATTTATTTCTGTAACTCAGCTTAGACTGAGAGACCATCCAAAGGCTCAGGAACTTCTGGTGTTTTGGATTCATTATGTGACACAACATTCTAATTGTCTGAGATTTTGAATTTGGGGTTTTCATAATCTATAAGCCATAATCATCACATTTATAACAAATAAAGGCATGAAATTTCTGGCTTTGCATGTATTGAGTCAATCTTATTGATTAGTTTAACCTTTTAAGTTGAATTACTGAAATAATTCATCCTATACATGTATATGTGAATATATGGTCTGTCCATGACCCATAGACAGAGCTCAGTGGGGCAGAATATATGGTTGTCTTTTAAACTGTCTCTGCATACTACTGGAAAACAAACATGACATACTCACCGCTATGGATGTCAGTCAACAGGGCAGCACGCTATCGAAAAAGACGCAATTACATCCATTTTCTAAATAAACAACACATTCTCACACGGAAGCGTTGAAAACTAACGATGGGTGACCAAGCGTTGGTTTCCGACGCCCGCGGTAAATCGCACATTTCACCAACATTTAACATCTGACTTCTTGCTATTGTAATGATAATAGAGGGTAAATTGGGTTAAGTAAATTGCTTGAAAAGCTATGTATTGCTATTATTATTACTTGTGACCAATAGCTGTGATACTCTATATAAATAGAATATCACCTTGCCTGGTCTTTATTTGTTTTAGTCAGAAGATTCTTTTATTCATTAAGGGATCGTACACACTCCGCCTTGATTCAAGAAACAGCCAGGTTTATAAACAAAATAAGAATTTATTTTACAAACCATTAAGACTTGATAAATTGTTAAAAATATTATACTGTGAGTGGATGGAACTAAGGATGGTGTCTGGAACCTATGTGTGAATATAATGTATTCAGAATCAAAGTTTCTCAGAGTTGAGTTCTGGATGGAAAGAATCTGGTTTGC